CTCTGATACCTACTCCCACCCCAAATATTATACATTTGAGCATATATTATATAGTAGCTAATAACCTTGGAGGATATGAGGCAGTGAAAATGAACTCCTGCTCAGGACAGAGCTGCTGGGACGGCAGGACTAAGAAGCTCTGTGTCCTGGAAGGTGCACAGCTTTATGTCAAAAGTGTTCCAGTGATACCCAAGTTGTTTCTTCTGCTCTCCATGGAACAGGAACAATAGCAATCGGAGAACTGAAAGTCGGAAAATGACTAAATTATCCTTTTTTGTCCACAATGACTAGTTAATAGCCCTACTTTGTAAGCAACAACTATAAAGAGAGCTTATTTTGGTTGAAGAATGAGTTGGCTAGGGAGATTTGAAACGGACTGACTGTGTTAATTGATTACAGGAACAATTCCCTCATCATTTATGAAGTGGTATAAACAACGTAAAATTCTGCAGTCTTGTTTAAGCGATATCTCAATTTTGACCAGTGTAGCTGAGGTAGAGGACTGCTTTCCACTTTCTTGTTAATTTTATCACCTAATATTTATGTATTTATGTATTTATTTATATACTTACTTATTTTTGCTATAGGCAATGTTTGGATAATCTGCAAAGGGTAATCAGCAGTATCATCAACGTCACTTGAGAGTTTGTTAGAAATGCAGATTCACAGGCCCCTATTATACTTAGTGAATCTGATTATCTGGGAATTTGGCTTAGGAACCTGTGTTTTATTTTTTATTATGATTTTTTAATATTTATTTATTTTTGAGAGAGAGACAGAGTCAGAGAATGAGTGGGGGAGGCGCAGAGAGAGAGGGAGACACAGAATCCGAAGCAGGCTTTTAGGCTCTGAGCTGTCACACAGAACCCAACGTGGGACTTGAACCCAGGAACTGCGAAATCATGACCTGAGCTAAAGACGGATGCTTAACCAACTGAGCTGTCCAAGCACCCCAAGAATCTGTGTTTTAACAAGCTCTCTGGAAGATTCTTATGTCTGCTAAAATTTGAAAGTACAGGTCTGTATAATTGAGGAGAGGAACTCAAGGAAGTTAGGAAGCTTAGGTAAGCAACCTTTGTGATTCTTTCTTCCCACCAAAGCTAAATTAAAAGAAAATCACTTAGAAACCAAATGAAAGTCTCTCTTGGTCTCCAGGGAAAACATAATCGCATTAGACAGCAATGTTACAGAAATAAGGAACAGTCACTCACAGGATGGCATTTCTCCTAAGTGAGGAGGGGGCTTCTATTTACCGCATTACAGGGCGTAAATTCTAAAATGAATGCACTACAATGTTCAATACAAGTTTGAGATTACAGACATTGCTGCTGACTACCTTTGGTATGAGTACTTAGAGTTAAATATCACAATAATTGCTACATCTCTGGTCTATGGAGTATCTTCAGGACATAAATGTACATACATAAATATACTGTGTACATCTATGATACGGTTCTCTTATTTCCCAAGTTTTTCTCAGCACATTCACCCTGTAGGTTTACTCACCACTTGCAGACAAAACAACTGTAACTCCAAAAAGAGCATTTTATGTACAAGTTAAGTATAACTTCTACCTGTGAATAGTTGATCCCAACTAGCATTACTCTTACTGACTAAGGAATAATAGATCTAAGAACTGGGCCTAGGAATAGCCAACCCCTCCCCTGGGAACAGAGCAAGGAGTTCCCCAGGAAGCCTCAAAGTTTACGTAGGCCAATCCACCAGTAACATCAGTAACATCTGCCTTCTGAATGATATTAACCAGGGAAATATTGGGGAAAACTACAAAGGCTAAAAATAGTCGGTTGTCATATTGTAGCAACACAAAATCAGAGAGGCTATTGCCTTTCTACTATTTTAACCCTCAAAGTCTGCGGATGTACAATGAGATTAAGATAAATGAAATCACTATTTGGTGAATTGGGCCAATGTAAAAATTAGGCAACTTAATTGTCTCCCTATGAGCTACTCTATTCCTCAACTAACAGTATTTAAAATATACATATATAATTTTTTCATTGCTCTAAGTCTCTTTTCTTTTGAAGACAAAAACATTATCTTATTTTTGGTAGTGGTGCTCTTTTTAATACATGTATTTTATGTATTTAATAGTAAAAGAATTTTATTCTCTTTGGGAAAATATTTTTCATTTTCCATTTTTAGTAGACATCGTAACAGCTTTTGATTAAATCCAGCTGATTAATCATTATTTTCATTAATTATCCAGACAAAGATGTGCGTACATTATACTTCTCCTTCCTGACAACAGAGGGTCTCTTGGCAAACTTGATTAATTTGTTTTGCATCCAAATTAACTGAAGCATAAAAATAAATACTAGTAGTTTCCAGCAATCTGAAGAAAAATTAATGATAAACATTAGGAAAAATAATACTAGAAAAAATACATTGTTTTACAAGAAATATTTGTTAAAGCTTTGTCATTGACAAAAAGAAAAAAATGCCTTAGTAATTGTTGAAAAGATATGTTGTCAACATTTAATTTTAGAGCAATATAATGGTGGAAATTGGGATTACTTCTTATCATTTTGAATTCATATGGCCCCAAGAATTAACAAAACTAATTTTAGATCTTTTTTAAGCTCTAAAAAAAACCTACTGACAGATCATTACCATTAGAGTCTGGTATGCTGGACACAAAAATAATGTATATTGACCATAGGGAAGCAATTGTGCAGAGTTTGAATGCCAATACAGAAATCAAACCCACTATGGGAAGTTTAGTTATTTATAAATCATGCTCTCTTGACAAAATAATGTGGAATGAGATGATTGCACATAGAACAGATAAAGGATAAAGAGAAAGGAAATCTTCCTTTATTTTGATAAAAAGAAAACTCTATACAGATGCAGAGGTATATTTGAAATTGACAATCATATATAATTTTTGATGGATAACTCCAGTTTGTATAAAGGAACCAGTTTAAGATATTTTCAAAAGCTTGGCTCATATATTCATTTATTTTACTCCTGTCTAAGCACTAATTTGTGGATTAGTTAGCTTATTTCAATAATTCATTTTCATAAGAAAACATTTTGCTGCACCTAAGTGGCTCAATCAGTTGAGCTCAGACCTCAGCTCAGTTCATGATCTCACAGTTCATGGGTTTAAGCCACAAGTCAGGCTTTGCACTGACAGTAAGTCTCCCTCTCTCTCTCTGCTCCTTCTCCCCACAAAAACAAACAAATATTTTAAAAAATTTTTAAGAAAACATTACTTATATATGTGGAGGTGATTTCAAGAGATTTCAGATTGCATTATTGAAAAGAGTAAAATGAAAACGCTAAGGTTAATACCATATGCATGGGTGCATGTGCACATATACATACACGCACATATATATAATATAAAATAATAGTTTTATATAATATTTTTTCGTGAAGCCAGCAAACAAACCTAGAGTGTAAGGTAGAATAGCTTTTTCGTAAACAGATATGTAAAATGTTTTCCAGACAGCAGGTGGCAATCTTTGTAAATGTGATTGCAGCAACAAAATTTTTAATTCTACATATGCAGATGAAAGACAGTTTTAAATGGCCAGTTAAGATCCTTGGCATGTTCACACTAGTTTAGATAACTTCAAATATTAAAAGGGTCTTATTTAATCATGTCTTACTGTTCAAATGAAATTTCTTTCTGGGTAAATAAGTGTTTTTGTTTAATGTTTCTTAATTCTTATGGAGCACAGGTGGAATTTCACACTACTAATCTTGTATAGGCATCCTCAACAAAATTCTATTTGCTGGTTACTTACCATTCTGCATTCAAGTGGTCTAAGAATTAACAAAGCTAATTTTAGATCTTTTCTAAGCTCTAAAAAAATCCTACTGACACACTGTTACTCTTAGAGCCCAGTTTCTATTGGTATTAATGTTGAACTGAGAGAAGTCTTTAGAATTCTAACTATGGAGGAAAACAAAGCTTTGACTCAGGGATATTTCTTAGAATGCCTTGTTTGTTTTTTTCCCAAACTGATGTAGTCATGTTTGGAAATCCATTGCTTTCTGAACTGAAAAGGAGCCTTAAACATCTGTACTCTCCATACCTACTGGAGCCAGATAGCCAGAGAGATAATCTAGCTTGCCCACAAGGCATTACTAGCAGCAAATAGCCTCTAATAGGATCTTCAAATTCTTTTAAGTTCAGCACCTCCTTTATATACAGCTATGAAACTTAAAATTTTCATCCTATCATCTTTTTAGTATGTTTATAATAGTTTTATCTATGATATAATTCTGAAATCATAATTTTCATTTATTTATTGAGTCCTCAGTATGTCAACAATATTTTATGTAATGTATGTACAATTAGGAAAGAATCTTTATTGTAAAATGATCTATTAAAATATATGACCAGTAATCTAGGCAGTTGTTGACTTTTCATTTTTTTCTATCCTTATATGTAAAATTCTTTAATATAGTAACACTCCCATTCTTTTACTACTAATTAAGACCTTATGTTTTCATTTTAAGATGCATTCCTCCAACAGAAAATGGGACAAATAGGGCAAAGCAATGGGATGGATTCACAGTAAACTTTAAACATTTTTGAATTTTAAAATCATCTCTTTATTTTCTCACTCAGCTATCTATCACTTATGTCTTTCTACTTCTATCGTAAATAATCTAAGGCAACTGGTTTTGTGTTCTCACTAAACAAATACTTTAAGAACACAGTGAAAAAAAATAGTACCACAAACTAATTTAAATCCTGTCTAGCCATGTTATTATTCAATGTGGCTTCCTTTATATTATCACATTTTTCAATGTGATTTTGCAGCAAATAATTTAAAAACTCATGGACGAAAGAGTCTATGACACATAAACAGGGGAAACCCCATACATTACAGAAACAAGTAAATTGCTACTTATCATTAATAGTCCTTCAGCTGAGGAAGTACTGCCCTTAGTGACAATATTTTTAATCCTTTTTTCTTAGGTAACAAAATATTTCCATTGGGATAGACTCAGTTCATTCTCACCAGGACATCGTTGCTCACTGCATCTTCTCACTTCTTCACCTGTTCCTTCACATTGCTGTCCTGTTATTGCTGCACCCTGACAAGTCCTTATTCGCCTTTCCCAGCCGCCATCACAGGACTTGGAACATCCACTCCAATGACCCCACTGATTCCATTGACCATTGGCTGCAAGAAATGTGTCATGGTCAATGGCAGTAGTACTGTAGCTGTTTTGAGAATTTTTAAATCTGAGGACCATTACTGTCTATTCATTTTTTATTAATCTACCACCACAAATAAGCTATATTCAGGTATTCGGCTTGCTAGTCAAATATAGAGCACTTCGATTAATATAAGTTTATATAAACCATAAGAGACTCTAAAATATAGAGAACAAACTGAGGGGTGATGAGGAGGGTGGGGAAGAGGAGAAAATGGGTGCTGGGCATTGAGGAGGGCACTTGTTGGGATGAGCACTGGGTATTATACGTAAGTGATCAACCATGGGAATCTACCCCAAAACCAAGAGCACACTTTACACACTGTATGTTAGCCAATTTGACAATAAATTATATTGAAAAAAATAACGTAAGTTTATATAAATTTGTCAGAATCTTCAAATGGACATTGAAATTTACTTGTAAAAGGACAAGTTCAGTGCTAGACTTCATCAGCTTAATCTGTTTTTAATCTAAGAATCCAGAATTTTGTTGCTTGATTAGTATGGCATACAGTAGAATGAGCTCTGGTACAAGTGGCTTCATTTACCAGAAATGCATAATTATCTAATTATTCCATGGTTGTCTGGCATGGTCCTGGCCACATTTTATAAATGGCAGGCATTCTTTAAATGTAGCGATCAGGCCTCACCTGTACACTCAGGGTTATAGCACTCTCTGCTTTCTGCCCAGGGCCCTCTGCATTCAGAGCCCCCATGAGCTGCTGCAGTACACTGCCTGCTTCTCTGCTGAGTCCCATTCGAACACGTCACTGAGCACTGACTCCATGAACTCCACTCTTGCCACTGCCCATCAACTGCCAAAGTAGAAAGAGAGATAGTATAAAAAGATGGTCCAATAGAGAGGGGTTTACAGAAAGTATAAAGTAAAATTAACCTTGCAGATGAATCCCAACCAGGGAACTCTAAGTGAATACAATGGAAAGTCACATTGGCATTAGATTTTATTACCCCCAAACTATTATTACCTTATTTTCTCATTTCTATTTCATTTTAGTATCCAATATCTCTTTTGAGTCACTAGTGCTTCAAAAAATATTTATTGATTACTCAACAATGTGAGATCTTGAGCTAGGATATGGGTACACAGAAAAGTGAATACAATAAATCCTGACCAATAACTCACAGAGTTCATTTTTAAAGAAGGAATGAAACAACTACATGCTAAATAAATTGTATAGCATTGTCTCAAAGGATAATTTCAAGACACTCTAAAGGTTTGGAGGGTCTGGGGTGTCTTCCTGGACAAAGTGAAGTTTCAGGCAAGTTGTGAAGAATGAGAAATAACGTGATAGATATTACGAGAAATAGAGAAATAAAAGACTATGAATTCTACTCTCAAAAATTTTGTAATTTAGTAGAAGAATTACATTATGTGCACAAATACATAAATAAAAGGTTAAAAGCAGTAACATCTTAACATGGCACATAAAGTAAATTATCACATCTACTTAGGGATAATTATGTTAGGTTAATATGGTAAGATCTGGATAATTTAGACAAAGGAGACAGCACCCACAAAGGCATAATCCTATAGACCATAAAGTGAGCAAAGGAATCAGGAAAAAATATCTACCCAATTTAGAATGCATAAACCAGAATATAAGTATGTTAGGGGGCGCCTGGGTGGCTCAGTCGGTTGAGTGTCCAACTTTGGCTCAGGTCATGATTTCACAGTTCAAGGGTTCGGGCCCTGCATTAGGTTCTGTGCTGACAGCTCAGAAACTGGAGCCTGTTTTTGATTCCGTGTCTTCCTCTCTCTCTGACCCTCCCCTGCTCATGCTGTCTCTCTCTCTCTCAGAAATAAATTTTAAAAAAATTTAAAAAAAGTATTATAAATGCATTGGTATATGACTGTCTGCTTTTTTTCCCATATCATTCTTTGGTTCTTAGTTTCATTGCAGTGAGAGAGAAGTCACCATAAATCCAAAATACCAATATAAGATAACACTGCTGTAAGAACTCATCCACCCATCCAAACAAACAAAAAAGCATGGCAGAATATGAGTAAGTGTTGTCAACCTAATTTCAGGCCTTGCAGGTGGCTACTAAAAAAGAAGATTGTTTAATAGGTATCTAGCTGTATTTAATAAACCCCTTGTGAGATTAAAAATCAGGAAATACCAATTTAATCATCTCATTCATGTAATTTTAGCATTTCACTTCATTAAAAGTACCTGACATAATCCTACTGGCTATGTAGTCCATTTGCCATACAAAAAAGAAAAGGATAGTGAATCAGTGGAATGCTATATATTATCCATTTCTCTCTATTTTGGCTTTAAAGTTGACTGCATTTCTCACTTCAGAAGTTTGCTTTTCAAAGAGAATACCTCTTGAGCTTGCATAATGACCCTCACTATCCTAGGCATTCCTAGAAAAGTTTACAAAAATAAGATTCATACCTGCACCTTATCCTCTATTGGCAAAAGAATATAGAGGCATTCAAATTTGTGACAACATTCAGAAAGCAACACATAAACAAAGACGAATTAGATGATTTCAACCTGATTGAGTGCTGAGTGACTAGAAGAAAGGAATATGTGATGCCCTTGAGAATTCTGGCTTGAGGTAAACTTGTAGTTATCTTTATTTTTTTAAATGAATGTAACAGTTACAGTCTCACTGGCAAAGAAGAGAGGATAAGTCTTTCCAGCTAAGAAGATGTGGAGTCAGGTATGGGCAAGTCAAATGTGGAAATCAGAGAGAAGATAATTTGGCAGGGTGTTGTATTATCGGTGAGGAATAAGAAAAGACCTTGCTGAAAAGAGATTAGGAAAAATGAGAATATTTGTGAAGTGTTTTGCTCAATAGGCTTTTCCTGAAAGAAGACTGTGCATCACAGTCTTTTTTTTTTTTACTAATATTATTTATTAGTAAATAATAAATAAATAACATTTTAAATTCATACATTTATAGTATTAGTCCTTTCTGCCAATGTACACATTTTGTTTTGATTGAAGTTCAAGAATCGGTTAACATTAAACTTTTGAGGGACTTTTTGAGGTTCCACACTACCAAACACATCAACAAAACATATATTTTAGATAGGTACGGTTTTGCTTATAAAGTTAGTTACAGAAAAGAAATAGCAATGAAACTGAAATCATATCAAGTGGATCTTTTCCATGTTCAATTTTACACTGAAAACTAGTTCCTTTTACTGAACATTAGGTGCACCATTATGAAAGATCTTATTTGGCCATATAACTGAGACAAAAGAGGAAAACCCAATATTCTTTTAGAATGTTAAGTCAAAGTTACTGGGAAAATTGAGAAGTTAGAACCAGAGAGATATGTCAATTTAATTTAAAGCATTAGAAAACAGACATACATATGAAAGAATTTCTTTTAATGCCTAATGTAAGGGACATTATTTCATTTTTTTTCAGTTTGGCATCTTTAAAGTTAGAAAATAAATCATTTTATTGTTTCTTTTTAGGGACATGAGACTCAAGACCTTTCAGGAAATGGCAGAGTTATTTCACCAAATTGGAAAAAGTCAAGGATCTTGAGAGGTGTAAATTAAGAGTTTTGTGTTAGAAATTTAGCCATTTCCAAGAAGGACATATGTATTATATTTTAGGTATAAATGTCAAGATATTTAAAAATAAACCATTCATTATATGATCTATTTTATATTTATTTTTATAATCACTTTTCTAAGTACTACAAGAAATGAAGGGGCGGCTTTTTTGTTTTTATCTGATGCTTTGCCGAGAATCCTTCATCCCTGCATTCAGGTTTGCTTTCCACTTGATTGAGTATGGAGGCAGCAAAAAAAAAAAAAAAAAAAAAAATGACCCTTTTCTCCACCTTCCACCTGCCTATGCCACAGACTTGCAGCATCTGTAAGAGATAAACTCCAGAATCATTGCAAATCCGCAAACTTGAAAATACTTCAAAGCTTTCTTTCTAAAACTGTGTTCCCATTGAAAGATGATTAACATCTTATCATTCGGTCAGAAGAGAGTTCTCAATAATTAGGGAAAATGTAAACACTCTAAACCTCTTCTTGGGGCCCTCCAACACACTCATAGGCAAAGGAATACAAAGAAGGTTCACTGTGACTCTGCCAGACTCTGGGAAAACTGTGGTGATCAAGACCCACCAAGCTCTGCTCTCATGAAACATATAGTCTGAGAGGGGAGTGAAGACAGATGATAAACAGGTAAATAAATGCATGGACAAGGGAGTTTCAGCCAGAAGTGTTATAGAGACAATGTGATGAAAGACAACAACGTGATAGGGTATGCTCAGCCATGCCTCTAAGAAAAATAAAACAAAACAAAAAACACATTCGAACTGAGTCCTGAGTCATTAACAGGAGCCAGAAATGTGAAGATCTGTGAAAATTTTACACAGGTGCCAAGTCCTGAGGCCAAGAAAATTTTGTGTACTCCAGAAAAGAGAAAAGGCTGGGGCTTCTGGGGATCACAAAAAGGGGGAATGGCTGACTGGGCGGACTCAACAGTATGCGAAGCCAAGTCTGTGGGGCCCTCTAGCCCTTGTGACCAAGTAAGGTCAGAAGCCATGAGAGGATTTTAAAATAGAGACGTGATGTGATATAATTTATACTATAACGTTGTGATGAGAATGAACTGTACAGGGGCAAGCTTCAGTGTTGTGAGGTGGTGGGGACTATGCTGCAGCCCGGACAGAGGGGAAAGTAGTTTAGATTATGGTGCCATCAGTAGAGACAGAAAGAAGTGGATGAACTTGGATGCTGTCTAGATGTAGAGCAGATAGGCTGGCAGTGGAGTATAGTATAGGCAGACAGAGAATCCAGGTGGACTTTTAGATTTCTGACTTACCAAAACAAGTAAATGGTGGACCCTTATGCTGAACTGAATTAGACTAGGATTCAAATGTGTCAGGGTGTATATAGCCCTGATATCAAAATGTCTATCTTGAATATGTTGAATTTGTGATGCCATTATAATCATAATGCAGGGAGTCATATATTACATTAACACTGTTTAAAATTAAGCCTCCAAAATATATTTGAAATGTAATCATCCCTCCTCTCTTTTCCTTTTTTTGGAACATTATTTGGTAAATATTGGATTAAATTACATAATTTCTTCTATAATATGCAGCTCGTTTAAGAATTAACACCTTCTTAGGCTTTTTCTGTTTCTCTTCATTTCTATCAGAAGCATTTGAAATTGTATTTTTTTTGTAGTGTTATTTTTCAATTTAGAGATTTCAAATGCCTATTACTATGAACCATCCTACAAAGGTGACTAAGAAAAGAGAATAATAATAAAAAAAAAAAAAAGAAAAGAGAATAATAAGGCTGTGTTTTGAAGCTGGGAGAGTGCTGAGAGATCAGTCTGTCTTACCATCATGCAGTGTGCTTCCTTATACAACAATGTCACCCCGGGGACAGTTAAAGTTTCGCTTCAGCAATGTGATACATTACTACATTTTCTGGACCCAGAATAATTAAAATTGCAAACTCTAAATTGCTAGATTCCTGGGGTTTACTTCATTATATGAACTTCTTCCTGCCATATATAGACAGCTACTATTGTGTTCACCTGGAAGAAAATCCTGTCTCCCACAAACAGAGGCCAAATTAAATTCTGTGATACATTTTAATGAAAATACTGTGTTTCAATGTATTTTCACATCTTTACCAATAACTGCTGACAAATTAGAATAGGTTGGAGAACAATAACCACAAGATCAAGCCATGATTATTTTGGAAAACAAAAATATCATTTTGGCAACTGTCTGGGGTTCATTATTGCTGATTGATAAAGTTAGGTATACTTGGGGAGAAGAATTCTAT